TACTACTACCGCTACCACTACTACTGCCACTACTACTACTACTGCTACTGCTACTACTACTACTACTACTACTACTACTACGGCTACAACGGCTACTATTATTTCAAATAATACTACTACTACTACTACTACTACCACTACGACTACTACCACTACGACGACGACTACTACTACTATTAGTGTTATTTCCGTTGCAGACATTATTACTATAAGCACGACTATTTTTACTATTATTACTACTTCTATTTTTCTACTCCTACTTCTACTGCTACTGCTACTACTCTACGGCTACTACCACTACTACTACTACTACTACAACAACTACTACTACTACTACTACTACTACTACTACTACCACTACTACTACTACTACTGCTGCTACTACTACTACTACTAGTATTATTATTATTTCTACGACTACTATGCCCACTACTACTACTACTACTACTACTACTACTACTACGACTACTACTACTACTACTACTACTACTACTATTACTACTACTACTACTACCACTACTACTACTACTACTACTACTACTACTACTACTACTAATACTGCTGCTGCTGCTGGTACTACTACTACTACCACTACTACTACTACTACTACTACTACTACTACTACTACTACTACTACTACTACTACTACTACTACTAGTACGACTACGACTACGATTACGACGCGCGAGACTTCCTTGCAACAGCTACACCAAACTAAACTCTCTCCTGGCGCCACGCCGGGAAAGAACCCAGCTTACCGGGAAAGAGCCCAGTCCGCCGGGGAAGAGATGAGATGCGGCCTCCTGCGGGCCTCTCGGGGCCGAGGGCTTGAAATGTCCGTTCGGGTTTCCCACCCAGGCCCCATCCATGCCCCCTCTTGGGGCCGTCTTGAGCCTTCTTGGGCCGTCTTGAGGCCCTCTTGGGGGTCTCTGGGGCCGTCTTGGGGCGATCTTGGAGGCCTCGTAGGCCGTCTTGGAGCGTCGGGAAACTGAAAGGCGCGAGCGCTGAAAACTTCCACGAACATAAGGAAGTCAATGCAATCTGCCTCTTGGGGCCCTCTGAGGAGGCATCTTGCAGGCTTGATGTCTTGGAGGCCTCTTGGACCGTTTTGGGCGTCTTGGAGCGATCTTTTGGCGACGCGGAGGCTTCTTGGGCCCTCCTGGGCCTTTTTGGGGCTCTTCTGCGCCTATTTATGCTGGAGCCCTGTTGGGCGGGGTCACCGTCCCAGAGGCCCACGCGACACACAAACACACACACACACACACACACACGCACGCACGCACGCACGCACGCACGCACGCACGCACGCACGCACGCACGCACGCACGCACGCACACACACACACACACACACACACCAAGGGCCTGGCGGCGCCTGGGAAGCCGGGGGCCCGGGCCCCTAAAGAATCTTTGAACCCTGGAGCTCCTCAGGGCTGCAGGAGCCTTGAGGCACTCCGCTGCATGCTGAAGGCACGGCGGCGGATGTAGGCCCTTGACGGCAGGTCTCCCCCTGGCAGGCAAGGCCAACCCGTGGGCGGAGGCCTGGCGCTTCTCCCGGCCGCGGGCTGGGCAGCCTCGCCTCCAGGTCGTGCGCGAGGCGTTCGACGAGGCGTTCATAGGCCGCGCGGGAGGGGTCCTGTTGCTCCACCCCCTGGCGATGACCGGCGTTACGGGGGGCATGATTCGGGAGCAACGCGGGGGGGCAGGTTCGCGCTGGTGTCCCGACAGGTTGCACGACAGCCTCAGATTTGCTGGCTTTCGTCGGTCTTCGGCGGCTTTCCAGCCTCGGGGTGCTTCCCTGCAGCTGCACCTCGCCGAGAGCGTTCTGCTGGTACCCGAGTCGTTCCGAACGGCTGTTGGAGAGCCGAGCTGTGATCCGAAAACCAGGGGGCAACGACAGGGGTGGAAAGGCTGAGTGGGAGATGCATCGACCCCCCTGGCCCATCCATCGCCGATGGGGGCCAGAGGGCCCACCCCGCCCAAGACCGCGCGGACTCACCATGGGGGGCCGCTCGCGGATCTGTCGGCGAGATGTTGCCGCTGCGGGGCCGATGCCCCCTTCCCGTGAGCCAGCCACCCGCCAGCGCTGCCCCTGAACCCTGAAGGATGGTCAGGGGCAACGATAGTGGGGGAATAGGCATAGGGGGGGATGCATCGACCCCTAATCGCCCATTGATCGCCGATAGGGGCCCGACAGCCCCAACTTGCCCAGGAAGGTCGGCATCACTATCGGAGGCCTGTCGCCGATCTATCGCCGATCTATCGCCGATTCCAGGTCGATGCATCCCCCCTATGCCAATCCCCCCTATCGTTGCCCCTCAGATGGGGGGGGGGGCAGTCGCTTCACGAGATGCGCCGTCGCCGTCTGGGACCTGACGGCCCCCCGGCAGTTTCCTGGACAGCGCCGGCACGGCTCGTACCGTGACGTTGCCCGAAGAGGCAGGGGGCTGGGAGGGGGGCGGCCCCGGCAACGGGCGTTGCGGCGAACAGTGAGGAAAGACACAAAAGTTGGGCGCTCCGCGCGGATTTCTTGGATCCGCGCTGGGCCCCCCCCCCCCCCCCCGGCGGTGCCTCCGGCGCCGCCCCTGGCGCGCTGCGCGCGCCAGGGAGAGGGGTCGGGCGCAAGTCCAAGAAGTCCGCGCGGAGCGCCAAAAGTTCATTCATGTGTCTGGCGTTTCTGTTCTTCTAGGGGAGTGTCGAACCGCTCCGAGCTCCACCTTCCACACCGCCCTGGGGGGGCGGTGCCACGGTGCGGGGCGGTGGGAGCATAGCTGACCGGGAGGGAGCAGGAGTGGCGACGACACGACACGCTGGGAGCCCGTCCGCATCTACTACTCTCCCATTTTTCGTCCGAAGGCCCCGTGCTTATTGTGGGTCCCCCACGGCGGCGGCGGACCCCCTCGTGATTCCACCCTCTGTGGACGCCCCCGGGGAAGAGGGGGAGGAGTGCGAGGATGAAGAGCTGCTTAAAAGGAAGAACGCCCACACGCACATCACTCACCAGCTCATGGCTGCAACGGCAGCATGCGTAGATCACGGGAGCCGTAGTGGTGGCAGCGACTGACTCGCAGCGGAGACTCTGACGTCGAAAGTAGATGTGAGGAAAGGATGAAGGGCAAAGAGTAAAGATCGGGGGCCGATGGCCACCGCCCCCTGTGCGCGTGCCTTGTGCCAGACCAGCTTGTTTGTGGGGGCGGTGTCCAAGCGTCGCGTCCCCGGGCAATGCCATTTTTCTCCACGGTCGTGTGCCGGACCAGCTTGCCCGCGCGGGTGGTGTGCAATAGTCGTGCCCCCAAAAAGAGGAGGGGAGCGAGGAGGGGGAGGAGGAGGAGGAGAAGTAGGAGAATGAGGTGGAGGAGAGGAGGATTCTGGAGCAGGGAAGACCACAGTAGAGCGATGCTGCAACAACACCACCACCCCCGCTAGCCCCCTCGTCTTAAGTTTCTACAGATATTCCTTGTTCGCTGAAGCGTTCCAAAGCGGGCTTTGAGGGCTCGGGCGCTTTTTTTTCCGCGTGCGCTTCCTGCTTTTAGGCCTTTGTCGCTGCGCGCAGGGCCGCGACGCCAAAAAATGTTCGCTAAAGCGCCCCCTTCAGAGTCCAACGCCCCATGGGCCTTCCGTTCAGGCGAGAGCGTCGTTTCCAGAAGGAGCTGCCTCGAATCCTTATGGCGCGCAATCCAAACAGCGAGCAGGTTTGATCATGCAGTTCAAGGAAATACCAAGGCCCAGGTCCATGGAACTATTGCCCAATATCCTACTTCTGGTTATGAAATTCGAGGAAGTCTCCAGCGAGAGCTCCAATATGAAAGGAACAGCCTTCCATCCGTGTAGCTCATGCACGCGTTGAGAAAGAACTCTGTTTGCTTGTCAAACAAAAGTTACATGTTGGAAAGGGGCCGTCTTTCATCCTTGTGATTGTTGCATCTTTTCACAACGGATATGCGCGTCGCCGGCAGCTCCATCTGAAAACGACATGTGTGTGTCCATCTTTCTCACTATTGCAAGCGATCAGTTTCAGGATGAGAAGTGCGAAGGAGCCTCAAAGAGACACGGGGATGAAGAGGAGGAGGAGGAGGAGGTGGAGGAGGAGGATGAAGAGGAGGAGGAGGAACGAGCAAATATGAGCAAAAAGAAGGAGGACGGGCAGCAGCCAAAGGCACCCGCCTGCGCTAGGGAGGGGTGCCTGGCTGCTCCATGGTACGTGTTGCTGCCGCCCCGGGTCCAGAACCCTCTGGAGGTCCCCACAGGCCCCCAGAGGCCCGACAAGGGCCAAACACGTCTCGGGTCCAGGGTCGGTGCACACACACACACACACATTTAGATACACGTGTGTATCTATACACACATATGATTATATATATAGATTTATATATACAAGGCTGCATTGGCGCTTCGCGCCATGCACCTGTGTCCTTGAAGTTTGGTAAGCAGGCGGAATGACAGGAAGGCCAAACCAACAATTTAGCGATAAATCCTTGTTGCCTTTTCCGACATCGCCGTTAAACTAATGTTATTCGTTATCTTTCCTCTATGTTTCTTTTTCCTCATTCTCGCCCTACCCTGCGTATTTGCCTCATCCTCCTCGGCTCTTTTTGCGGAGGCTCCTCTTTGGAGAGTCTCTGGGGGCCTCGCGGACGTTTTTCAGGCTTTCTTAAGGCCTTCTGGAGGCCTCCTGGGCGTTTTCTGGGGGCCTTTGGGCGCCTCTTCGGGCCACCCTGCCTTCAACCGAAGTCTCCCTGACCGACCGAATGCTTCGGAGGGTGTCTTAGGGGCTCTCTTGGGCCGTCATGGCGCTCTCGTAGGCCATCTTGGAATCCTGTTGTGCCGTCTTGGGGTTCTCTTGGACTGCCTGGAAGCCCTTTCCGATGGTTGTGGGGCGATTTTCAAGCCTCCGAGGCGGCCTCGGACGTCCAGAAGACCGTCGTCTTGGAGCGTCGGGAAGCCGAAAAGAGGAGAACCCAAAAATTGCCAAACAACCAACAGAAAATCAATTCATTGTGCCTCTTGGGGCCTTCTTGGGAGTGCTCTTGGAGGCCTCTTAGGACGTTTTGGAGCGATCTTTTGGGGGTATGACAGCTCTTTGGGGTCGTCGTGGACCGTCTTGGGGTTCTCTGGGGTCGTTTCGGGAGGGCGCCGGACCGCCTGGAGCACTCTGGGGCCGTCTTCGGGCCCTCGTGGGGTTCTCCTGGGTCGTCTGGAGGGTTGCCCGAGTGGCCCCGGGTGGGCCAAATTCGTTAGTTCGGGGGGGGGACGGGGCGCGCTTTTTCCGGGGTCCCCGGCCTTGTAAACAGATACGAGTAGGAATCTGATCCGCGGATCTGCACACCCCCTCCTCCAATGCTCATGAGGGGGATCTCCCCCCCCTCCACCCCCGCTGGATGGATATCTCCCCACCCTCCCTGTGGTCGTGGCCCTGAGGGCATGGCATGGCCTTCGTCGTCGACGTCGACGTCTTCGTCGTCGTCGGCGGCGTCGTCGTCGTCGTCGTCCGTTGTCGTCGTCGTCGTCCTCGTCCTCGTCGTCGTCGTCTTCGTCGTCGTCGTCTTCGTCGTCGTCGTCGCCGTCTTCCCTCGTCGTCGTTGTCCACGTCTTCTGTCGTCGTCGTCGTCGTCTTCCGTCGTCGTCGTCGTCGTCGCCCCCCATCCCATCTGGGGGGGGGCTGAGGGGCTGGGGCCTGTGAACCCGGGGATCCATCAATCCCATCTATGGGGTGCCTGGGAACCCTTGACGCTGGATCATATATGCCTCCCCGTCCAGGGAGCTTCACACTGCACGTCCGCAGCCGCCGTGCGATTCAAAGAGTCGCCACGCGAAGCGGGAGCAACCCACGAGCCGACCTGCGATAGGCAAACTCATGAGGTGAACCGTGGTCAGAGAGAGAGAGAGAAAGAAAGAAAGAGAGAGAGAGAGAGAGAGAGCGCGCGCGCGACGAAAACAACGAATTCGCCCCCCCCCTCCCTCCCCTGCGCCAGTCGCAGGCCTGAGAATTCGTGAAGCACAAGGGTAGGGGGGCACGACAGACCCAGACCCCCGACGTAATGAATTTTTCATGACGTCGACCCCCAGCGGTCTGGACCTATTCCCCGGGACCGGTTTTTCGTCCCGAGTCGTTTTTTGACGGTCCCGAGGGCCGGTAAGGGCCCCCAGAGGCCCAAAATCATGAAAAAACTTCCCGTCGCGATTTTTTCATAGCTCGAGGGGCTCTGGGGAGTGTGCCCCCCCGGCCAGGCCACGAGGGCGCACCGCTCCTGGGCCCGTGGAGGGGCCTGGCCCGGGCCGGTGCACGTGCGCCGCCCTCCCGCCTCGGCCCTCGGCCCTCCCATGGCCCCCCAGCGACGCCTCGGCGCTGCAGCGGCGATGCATCGGCGTGGGGAAGCCGGGCGCCACGTCGAGCCGCATCGCCGATGCATCGGCGATGCGGCGCCATCCTCGGACCCCTACGTGCTCCGACGCCATCGACGTCGGCGTGGGGAAGCCGGGCGCCACGTCGAGCCGCATCGCCGATGCATCGGCGATGCGGCGCCTTCCTCCGACCCCTGCGTGCTCCAACGCCAGCTGGGAGGAGGCCTTCTGGCCCAGACCCTCGGCGCCATGATTATTTTCATAATTAGCGTCGATCTCCGGAGGTCTGCACTGGGATCCCCGGGACGGGTCTTTCGTCCCGAGCCGTTTTGTGGACGGCCCCGAGGCCTTGTGAGGGCTCCCAGAGGTCGGGGGCGGCAAAGAGGGGGGTGATGACTAGGGGGGGGTGGATCTCATGGCGGGGGCCATGATATCTCCCCAGATTTCCTGGCGCCTCTTCTTATTCCATTACGTCCCTGGCCCCCCCGCTGGGCCGCGCACATGCCGCCGGTCATGATTTGCACCCCCCCCTCTTGGACACCCTCCTCCTGGCCGCTCCCGAAGAGGCCGCAAGCGGTGGGAAACTTCCCGCCGTGAGTTTTTTCCATGCCTCGATGGGGCCCCCGCGCAAGCTGGCGGCGGCCGCAGGCAATCCCCGGAACGCGCCGCTGCTGCGGGGCGCGTCCGCGCTGGTGGCGCTCTACCCCGACGAGGCCACGGACGACGTGCTGAGGTCCGGTCTGCGCCTTTGGGGGGAAAAACTCACAGGAGGAAAAGGTACCCTTACCGCTATGTACCCTTCCCTCGTTTTCCCCGTTTTGGGCCTCCTGGGAGGCCCTCGGCACCACCGCCTGGATTCGCCTCGAAATCTTGGCCAGAACGCACCCAGGGAGAGGTCTGGGGAGTAGCGGTATTGGTATCTTGTGGTTTCCCCAGAGGCGGGGAGGACGAGGGCTGCAGCCCCACTGCGATAGTCGAGGAAGGAACTTTCTGGGCACCCTCGAGTCGGGATAACAAATCACGAATCTCGCGCGTTTGGGGGCTGTGTTCGGTCTCTGGGGCTCCCTATTACCCCTATTACGGGGGCCTTGGGACTGGGGTCCCGGGGCAGGATCGAGACCTCTGGGGGTCGACGTGACGAAACATAGGACGCCTGGCTCCTGGGCTCTTGGCCTCCCGGATGGCGTTGGAGCGCGTAGGGTCGGAGGAGTGCGCCGCATCGCCGATGCATCGGCGACGCGGCTCGATGTGGAGCCCGTGTGCCCCCACGCCGACGCCGCCGATCGCCGATACATCGGCGGTGCATTGGCGATGCGGCGCGATCCTTCGACCCCATCCACCTGGACCCCATCTAGGAGGCCTCCAGTTGGAGCGCATGGGGCCGGAGGGTTGCGCCACATCGCCGATGCATCGGCGATGCAGATCGACTCTGACTTCCTTCGGGAGGCCTGCAGATAGTCGAGGAAGGCATATCGGCACAGACAGCTTCCGACGCTCCGCGCGGATTTTTTCGATCTGCGCTGAGCCCCCCTGGCGCCGCCTCTGGCGCCGCCACGCGCTCTGCGCGCTATAGGTATCGGGGTCCAGCATCGATCTGAGAAATCTGCGCGGACTTCCGCAAGTTCATTTTCAAGATGGCCCCAAGACTGTCCAAGATGCCCTCCAGACGGCCCACGAGGCCCGCAAGACGCCCCGAGCGTGCTCCGGGAGGCCAGAATCTTCGATGCCCCTCAGGTCTTCTGTGATTTTAGCCTTCTCGCCCTCTCGGGCTTCCGCCGCTCCGAGACGGCCCCATAGGCCCCCAGGAGAGCCCCAAGACGGCCCGAGAGGCCCCCAAGAGGCCCGCAGCTCCGCTGCGATGGCAGCAGCAGCTCCAGTAGCAGGCGAAGCAGCAGCAGTGGATCATCCAGCCTTCCGATATCGGCACCAGCATTAAGTCGGGCATGTCCCTCTACAGGAGGAACATTCAAAAATGGTCAAAAAGGGACGATCTTCCGATTATTGTTTGGCCATCCTTGGTGTTTGTGTTGATTACTTTTTATTTTTCGTCGAAAAGCCGCCTGCGGGGGACATGCCCGACCAGACACCAGCGCAGGAGGAGAGGGCCCGTGGCTCCTCGAGGCTCGAGGTCCTCGAGGCTCCTTGCTGCGGGCGCTCTCGTGAGCTCCGCCCGCGGGAGGCTCCTCGACCGCCCTGGGGGTGCGCTCCAGCAGAGGGCCTCGCAGCTCCTCGAGGCCCTCCCTTTGAGGTTTGTGGGTCCGAGCTCCTCGAGGTCCGAGGCTCCTCGAGGTCCGAGGGTCCTCGAGGTGCGAGGGTCCTCGAGGCTCGAGGCTCGCGGGTCGAGCTCCTCTCCGTAGCTTCCCGAGGCTCTTCCAGCCTCGGGGGGTGCGCTCCAGCAGCTGCGCCCCGCCGGGAGCGTTCGCGGGGGGGGGGCCTCGACCGTCCCGAACGGTTGCCGGAGACCCGAGTGAACGACCCGGAAAAGCAGTATACCCGTCCAGGCTCCATTCCGAGCCGACCGATCCGACGCGATGTCGGTTCCGGCCGGCCCGATCCGGCTCGGAGAGTTTGATGATACGGCCTTCTGCCTGGGCGCCGCTGTCGCGCATCCTGGCGCAGCCAGCCCGCCTCGATCTCGGCTCCGTGCCTTGGCAGCCACGTCGATGCGCTTCGATTGCCCGATTCGAAGCTCACTGATCCCGCAGCAGGCACATCGACTGAGGAATCGGCCTGACAGCGGCCGTTCCAAGAAGATGTCTTGCTCCCCGCTGTCCCCCAGGGGTCTCAATGGAGCCCTTGAGGCGCCCCAGGAGGCTTAAAGATTGTTGTCACGCCGGGTGTTTTAAAAAGGGTCTTGCCTTCGAGGTTTCAAGTCGTTGTCATCTCTTCCTCGGCGGAAGGCGGCGGAAGGACGGCGGAAGGTCGGCGGAAGCAAGGCGAGGCCTCCTCCGCCGGCGGAAGCCTGCGGAAGGCCGGCGGAAGGCGACGGAAGTAAAAGATGCGCCTCCAAGAGATGAACACGTTTTTGGGTTCAGGGTCTCCGGAATCCGCCACATGTCCCCCCCTGGACTTCAGAGCAAGATTCCTTATCGCACATATTCGTTTGCGCACGGGGACGAGGACCCAGACACCCGATGTTCGAGGTTCGAGGATCGATATTTTTACGTCTTCGAGGATCGCGCTGACAAGGCGCGAACCAAAAGATGGGCTCGCGCCTTGCTGGCGCTGCGGCGACCCCCAGCGCGGGCGCTCAGGGTTGATCGCCGCCGGTGGCCTGGACGATGCCGACATCGAACGATCCACACGGTGTCAGGGGGCAGCGCCGACCTCATGGCGGAGCCCGCCCGCTGCCGCACGCGAGGAGGACGAGGGCGCAGACCCCCCCCGGAGGTCGAGGACTGAGGCTTGAGGGTCGGGGTGCTTGGGATGCGTCTGTGCCTCTCTGCTGGCCTCTCGGTCGCGGGTGGGTCGCGGGCCTTTTGGTTGCCTCTTGGGGGCCTTTGGGAGGCAACTTGGGGTTTCCTGGGGGCCTCTTGGGGGCCTCTTGGGGCCTCTTGGAGGCCTCTTGGGGCTTCCTGGGAGCTCCTTGGAGCCGAGGGCTTGAAATGCCGGTTCGGGTCCCCCGCCTGGGTCCTCTCTTGGAGCCGTCTTGGGGGCCTCTTGGGCCGTCTTGGAGGCCTCTTGGGCCGTCTTGCGGCCCCTGTGGGCCGTTCTCAAGCATTTTGGGCCGTCTTGGGAACAACTTGATCGCCGTCTTGAAGCGTCGGGAAGCCGAAAAGGCTAGAACACTAAAATCTTTCAAACACCAAGGGACAAATAATGATGTGCCTTTTGTGGCCCTCTTCGGGTGGCCTCCTGGGGCGTCTTGGAAACCTTTTGGGGCGTCTGGAGGCCATCTGGGGCTTCTTGGACCGATCATTCGGCGACTCGGGGCCCTCTCGGACCGTCTTGGGGGCCTCTTTGGACCCTCTTGGCCCGTCTGGGGGCCACCTGCGGCCCGAAAAAGTCATGCGACAGGGCGCCCCGGACCGCGGGAGATTTGAGAGCTTGGGGTCCGGGTCCCTGAGGAGTGCAATCAATTGAGCTGTAGACGAAAACAAGAGCTGGAGGCTGGAGGAGCCTTACTCCAGAGGCCTGAGGACTACAACGTGGGACCTGTGGACACGCGCACTCCGTGCCTGAAGGCACGGTGGCGGATCAGGGACCAACGGCTCGGCCCGGAATCCCTCCTAGGGCCCCCATCCCCAGGGAGCTCTGGGGGTTCCCCTGGGGCTTGGGCGATCCCTTGTCGCTCCCATCTCCCGCCTCTCCTCTTTCCCTTCTCGTCCTTGTATCCCTCGCCTCTGGGTGCACCACTTGACCAGCAGGCCAGCCAACCCATTGCCGCAGCGCGAACGCCGCCGCTGCGGGGCACCCAAGTTTGACCCCCCCTGTCCGCAGCCATCTCGGCAGCGAGAGCCAACCGTTCCCCTTCCCGCGGCGAGGAGGAGGAGGAGGGGGAGGAGGAGGAGGAGGAGGAGGAGGAGGAGGAGGAGGAGGAGGAGGAGGAGGAGGAGGAGGAGGAGGAGGAATACATCGACTTCCACCTCTCCCTCCCCCTCACCCGGTGAGGTTCAGCGCGTCCCAGAACGTGAGGACCGCGCTGATCCCTTGCCCGGAGTGCGTCCGCTTTTTCCCGCCGCGCGACCCGACCTACACGGGATTCGTGAACCGGCTCATCGAGGACGACCGGCACCAGGCTTTCCACTTCGGCTCCTCGCCGATCTGGGAGGACCGGCTCTGGGGAGCGCCCTACTGCCAGGCCCGCGGCCGCGTTCGAAAATGGGGCGGGCCGCGCAGACACCAGGGGACAGGGAGCCCTGACCTGGCCAATCAGGAGGAAGGCAAGCTTTTTTGCAGCCGAGTCCCTGCACATTCGGTTGCAAGTCTTCAGGTCGCCCCCCCGGCGCCGTCGTCGTCAACGAGGACCGTGGCCGCGTAGGCAGCTCCACCGAAGGTGCCAGTGGCAGAGTCGCATGCGCCCCCCCGCTCGTTTCGGCGCACTCCTCACGAGGATCGTGGCCCCACAGTGAACTCCACCGAAGGCCCCAGCGGCATGGGCCACATGCGTTCCCTCGCCAATTTCGGCACACCCCTCACGAGGGTCGTGGCCCCATAGGGAGCCCCACCGAAAGCGGTACCCACAACGCAGTATTCACATTTGCATGTTGTCGGGACCTCCGCCAGGATCATTTCAATCGAAGTGCCCCCCTCGGGGCTCGCACCTTGTTTTTGTATCAGACAAAGTCGTCATGCTGAAACTGTGTTGTTGCCCCCCGGCCACAACAACAACGGCCATCGCTTGATACGTCTTCACATGTTATTCCGAAATCGCGTTCTCGCACAGGACGCCCTCACAATATACGCAGGATTCGCGCTGTCGCGTGGGACTTGGCAATTTATTCAGACGCCGCGCCCTCGACACTCAGAAATCACGCTCTCGCGTTTGCCTTTCTTGAGATTTATTTGGCCATCGCGCTATCGCTCGAGACTTTTCGCGATTCATGCAGTACTCACGCTTCAGAAACCCGCCTGCTCGACCTGGCCGCCTAGACCCGTTCCCGACCCGCCTGCTGGGGTCTGCCAGTCTGGTTCTACCACGTGCTTTTTGCTCCTTCCCCCCCCCATCCTGCTAGGTAGTTTTTCTCGTGCTCCATCCTTCTCCCTCCCCTTTCCATCTCTTCTCCTGTGTTAGGGGTTGCACTAGACGCACGTGGCAGGTAACGAAGAGGGCGGGTACCTGTTGAATGACACGCGAGCAGGTAGGAACGAGCAGTCTCATTTTTTCGTGTTGTTGCTGTTGTTGTTGATGGTGGTGGTGGTGGTGGTGCTGTTGTTATTGTTGTTGTTGCTGGTAGTGATGTTGTTGTAGTTGTGGTTGTTGGATGTTGTTATTGCTGCTGCTGCTGCTGCTGTTGATGTTGTCGTCGTCGTCGTCGTCGTCGTCGTCGTCCCACTTGCGACTTGACAAGCGACCCACCCGCGCGACCCACCCGCGATCCACCCGCGACCCGCCCTGCTACCCACCCACGATCCCGCCCGCGACCCACGTGCGACCCACTCCGCGCCTGCCCCCTCGCTCTTATCCGCAGCTGCGGGGTGCCATACTGCCCGGCCGAGGCATAAGATCGAGGTCGGTTCAGAGAGGGTGCCTTGATGTTCTTCGTGCTTGTTGGGGTGTTATTGTGCATCCTGGGGGAGTGTGTCCTTGGATAGTCCGTGTTTTGGCCGGCGGAGGGTCTCATGCTCGTGAAGGATGTTTTCTGTCTTAGGTCGGACCATGCAACCATCAGAAAACTTCAACAAAAACATCGACGTCCATGGGCTCCAGACTTCGCTTAAGAGAATCAGCAATCTGGACTGGACCCTAGGCGTTTTCGAGGAGCTTATTTTCTTCACAGAATATTCGCCTGCCTGGACCTGGATTGCTGTCTAAGAGAAAGCCTGGAGCGAAGCCGACTCCCTTAGCGCAACAGTTCCTTAACTCTGAGCCGGGGTGTACTGTTGCAGTCGACCCGCATAGCAAGGATGGGCAACCTTCCCAAGGGCACCCTTGCATCCTTGCCTCGTCGGCCATCCCTGGCCACTTTTCCTGGCCGCCCCCCGCCCGAGAAGCTTCGAGACGGCCCTCCAGGGCCCTTGCATCCTCATCGCGCGCCCTCACGACACGGGCTGGCGGCACCTCTCCCCCGTCTCTCCTCGCCGCCCAGGTGCTGCTGCAGCGGTCCCCCTACCAGCCGCCGCCCCGCGGGCCGCACCACTAGACGGCCAGATATTTTTGGCTGCCCCGGGACGCCGGGAGCGCCGGGCCTGCGCCGTCGCCTGCTCTCAGAGGGGGGGCGTCCCCCGTCGGGGGGGCTCCCCCGTCGCCACGGCCGTACTCCCGCCTGGAGCCCTGAGATCCTGGCGTCCCGACGTTTTCGAGCCCGGCGTTTTCTCTCTCCTTTTTGTTCGGGCCCTGGGACCCGCACAGATCGATGCGGCTCGACAACCGGCGCAGAAAGGCGGTGTCTAGGGATTCAGGCGCGTTTTTTTTGCGATGTGGTAATCTTCTTGCTACGTCGGATCTCAAGGGCAAGTGGTGCGGGGACCTTTTCTGGGCTGCCGTCGTCTCAGCTCGCCTCGCTCCGCGCTGCATCATGTGCCCCCGACGACCTCAATCGGCCCCCCTCGTCCCGAGCTGTATGATGTTCCACCCTACTTCAGCATTGGTCACCACAGAGAATATCGAGCACTAAGGAGATGCCGAAACTTGAGGGTTTTCCAGTGTCGGGTCTGGGAGGCGATGCTCGTTCGGCATCTTGCCAGCGTGTGGGACAGACCCTGTTTCGATGCTTTTCGGGGTGCCCGAAATGATTTGTGGGATGTTGTCCTGAAGTGCGATGGGAGCTGTCTTTTGATGCCCCTTGCGGTCCCCGAAGCGCGCTTCTGGTGGAGGCCGACGCTTTGGACAAGCGTCGGCACTGAAACCGTCACGGCAGGAGGAGGATGATGATGATGATGAGGAGGAGGAGGAGGCGGATGAGGAGGAGGAGGGGGAGGAGGAGGCGGAAGAGGAGGAGGAGGAGGAGGAGGAGGAGGAGGAGGAGGAGGAGGAGGAGGACGAGGGGGAGAAGGAATAGGAGGTGGAGGAGGAAAAGGAGCAGGGGGAGGGGGAGGAGGACGAGGATGAGGATCAGGATGAAGATGAGGACGAGGAGGGGGATGATGATTATTCTTATTATGCTGATGATGATGGCGATGATGCCGATAATGATGCTGCTGATGATGGTTGTGGTGATGCTGCTGCTGCTGCTGCTGCTGCTGCTGCTGCTGATGATGATGATGATGATGATGATGATGATGATGATGATTGTGGTGGTGATGATGATGATGCTGATAATGATGCTGATGATAATGATGATGGCGATGATGGTGGTGATGGTGATGGTGATGGTGATGATGACGATGACGATGACGATGACGATGATGACGATGACGATGATGATGATGATGATGATGATGATGATGGTGGTGATGATGATGATGATGATGATGATGATGACGATGACGATGACGATGATGATGATGATGATGATGATGATGATGATGATGATGATGATGATGATGATGAGCATGAGGAGGAGGAGGAGGAGGAGGAGGAGGAGGAGGAGGAGGAGGAGGAGGACGACTGGCAGACAATTCGTTTTCTCATACCGTGGGCCCGAGAGGTCTGGGCCCTTTTCCCGCAGCGGCTCGTCCAAGACCAGCCGTTGTTCCCAATGCCAGACGCTTCGCGTAACCCCACCGGCCCATCCAGAGGCGATGCCCATACGAGCTGCCCTGATCGGGCACGTGGAGGAACATACAGTGGAATAAAGGTTGGGAAGCCGTAGTGCCCCAAGAGGGAGAGGATGGAGGCGGAACTAGAGGAGGAGGGGGGAGGAGGAGGAGGAGGAGGAGGAGGAGGAGGAGGGAGGAGGAGGAGGAGGCGGAGGAGGAGGAGGAGGAGGAGGCGGAGGAGGAGGAGGAGGAGGAGGAGGAGGATGAAGAGGAGCAGGAGGAGGATGAAGAGGAGGATGAGGAGAAGGAGGAGGAAGATGAGGATGAGGGGGAGGAGGAGGATGAGGAGGAGGAGGGAGGAGGGAGGAGGATGAGGAGGATATAAATTAGGCGGATGAAAAAGAGGAAGAGGAGGGCGAACAGAAAGGCCAGTGGCCTCTTGAATGCTTTTCGGAGTCTCTTCGGATACGTATCTCTTGAGAGCTTCTTGTCGCCTGGTGGGGCGTCTTGGGGGCCTCTTGGCGGTCCCCAGGGCCTCTTGAAGCGTCGTGGGTGCCTCGGGGGAGCCTCTTTGGGCCCGTTGAGGCCTCTTTGGAGTCTCCTTGGAGCCTCTTTGGGGCATCTGGGGGGCATCTGGGGGGCCTCTTGGGGGCCGCTTGGGAGCCTCTGGGCTCCTCTTGGGGCACTCTTGGGGGCCTCGGGGGCTATCTTGGGGCCATCTTGGAGGTGATCGATCAGCGTCCCCCTTTCCAGGAGGCTAACATTGGTTCAACATTTTAGTAAGATCAGTGATTTGGGCCTTCTCGCCGAGACCATCTTGGACTCTCTGCCTGCCCGCCGCCCCCCCCGTCCACGTGCAGGGGCAGGGGGCAGGGGAAGGGGCAGACCCCTCCCCGAAGGAGAAGAAGGGGGGGGACGAGTAAAGGCTCTAAACCACTCACACCCCAAAGGGCGCGTGGGATTAAGGTCGAGCATATGATTAAAAAACCTCCTCCCGACAAGTTTGGCCAGCGATTCTTGGAAAGCTGGCCCAGTTTCTTGAGCTCCTTCGTCCCTCCAACTTCAGCAACAGAGCCTGGCCCAGATTGCGAAGGCCTTGCGGCCGGTGCCGCCGTCCCTGAGGTTGGGGAGAAGGACGCGGACCATGGGGAGGAAGATGAGGAGAGGGACAGGAGGAAAAGGCGGATGAGGAGGAGTAGGAGCACATGGGGGAATTAATACGAGGAGAGTGAGGCGAGCAAGGTGGGGGGGGGCACGAAGGAAGGGCAGGGGCGAGTAGAGCGTGGCGATCATGAGGAGGAGGAGGGAGATAATGGCGAGGATGTTGACGATGTTGACGACGACGCCGGTTGCCTATCAGGAACATTCGGGGCGTCTTGGAGCCCTCCTGGGGCGACTTCCAGGCTTCGTTCGCTGTTTTGAAGCTAGGTTTGGCATCTTGGACATCTGGGAGGCCACGGAGGTGTAGTTAGATTTGGAGGGCGCTGGGGCCGGGAGCCAGGGCCGGGGCCACAGCGGGCCGGGAGCCAGGGCCAGGGCCGTGGCCGGGGCTGGGGCCGAGGCTGCACCGGGGCCAGGGCGGGGCCGGGGCCGGCCGGGGCAGGGACCACCCTGGAAAACACATCTAAACATTTTTTTTGGTTGCTCATTTCCCCAGCGGCAGCTGCGTTCGGAGGGACCGCATGGTATCTAAACTTCCTCCCTGAATCAGATGTTTTTTAGAGCGCTTTCGTACAGACAATTAGATACGAATGGATCTGCTTCAAAAATAGATACGTTTGGATACGATTTTTTACTTTTTTAGATACGGGAGCTCTGTTTTCCTACAATGTTTAGATACGGGGTCAAATTTAGATACGAATATATATGTTTAGATATATTTAGAGACGGTTCAATATGGCGCCCATCGCTGGAAAACATGTCTACCACAAATAGATACGAATAGATACGGCGCCAAGTCTCCTGCGCACGCCCACGATCGACCATTCTCGCTCCTCGCTCCTCTTGGATCCTCCTCATCCGCCTTCCTCGGTGCTCATCTTCTCTTTTCTTTTTTCGCCACACCCTGAGTGAGGTTCTTGTGCCCCGCATTCTGAGTGGGGTTCTTGGTTTCCTAGAACACCCTCTCCTGTTCCTTCTCCTCCTTCTCCTTCTCCTTCTCCCGCCTCCCTACTATACTATACCAATGCGTACTGTACCAGTACCACGCCAACCTACCATACCATACCTACCACACCACACCTACCATTCCATACCCACCATACCATACCAAACCTACTATACCAGACCATACTTACCATATCATGCCATACTATGCAATACCTACCAAACCTTCTATACCATACCTCTCCCCCTCCTCCTCCTCGACTCCTCCTCCTCCTCTTCCTCCTCCTCTTCCTCCTCCTCGTGTTCCTCCTCCTGCTCCATCTCCTCCTCCCCATCCTACGGTTCCCTGTTCCTACCCAGTTCTCTCCGAAATTTAGTTTCGTCGTTGTTATCCATCCTGCTCTTCGTCGTTTTTGTCGTCGTCGCTCGTCTCCTCACTCCTCACTCCTCATCGCTACGGCATCCCACTATCCTCATCCCATTGTTTACTCCTTCGGCCAATATCATGGATCTTGTTCGTGCCAGGGGCACAGCCAACTGCATCCGTTCTGACATAATTTTGATAAGAATAGATACGGCGCGGCACTGCCATTCTTTGAAAAAAAAACAGATACGGATAGATAGGGTTCCTTGAAGAAAAATAGATACGGTCCCAAATTTTTAGATATGCTCTCTTGAACAATAGAGGCGTTTAGATACGGCGGCGCTCCCGCGCAGGCTGGGGGCGCGCATCTAAAAACAGTATCCAGATTGTCGTCGTTGCAGAAAAATGAATACGATGGGGGGGGCTTCTCGCCTGCGCCAGGGCGCGATCGCATCTCAGCGCATCTATGAATTTCAGTTGCATATTGCAGGGCAGAGTCGGGGAGGGCCGGGGCCAGCGGGGCCGGGACCGGCCGAGGCGGAGGCCGGGGCCGGAAGCGGAGACGGGGTTGGGGTTGGGCCGGGGCCGGGGCCGGGGCTGGGGCAAAACGGCGCGAGGATCGGGACAAAATCGGATCGGGATATCTCGAAAAATCTCTGAGAGTCGGCGGATTTGGAGGATGTATTTGGCGCCGCGGCCGCTCTCAGAGCGTTCCGGAACGCTTTGAGAGCGCTCCAGAGCGCTCTGGAGCGATTTATCCCGATCCTAGCCATGTTTTATGGGGCTTGGAAGGTCGGGGGGGGCCTTCGTCGGGAGGCGGCCCTCGGCGTTCCTCTCTTGGTGTTTTGGCCTGGGAGGGGTTGCCAGGGGGGGGAAGGGCGGCCCGGGGTTGCCCGGAGCAGCGGTTCTCAGCGATGCCAGACAACAGTGCAAAGCTGTCGCCAAACGTTGCAGATCGATGCAATGCCATGCATTGCGAAGCAATGCCAAGCAACGCCAGAAGCAAGACCAACACCAACGACAAGCAATGCCAAACACTGCCAAGCAATGCAGGGCAGCGCCAGGCGCTGCCAAGCAATACCAAACAACGATCCCGAGAAATGCCTAGCAATGCCGGGTCACGCCAAGCAAATGCAAGCAATGCCAAGCAACGGTTCCAAGCAACGTCAAGCAATGGCCAGCAACGGCAGTGCAATCTCAAGCAACGCCAGGCACTGCCAGAACATGCATATGAGTGCCAAACGGTGCCAGGTAATGTCAAGCAACGGTTCCAAGCAAAGCGAAGCAATGCCAAGCAATGCCAAGCAATGCCAAGCACTGCAACGCCAGTGCCAAGCAACGCCGAGCAATTTTTTTTGAACAATGCCAGGCAATTGCCAAGCAACCCCCGGCAACGCCAAGCAACGCGAAGCAACTCTGGGCAAAGCCAAACAATGACGAGCAACGATTCCAAGCAATACCAAGCAACGCCAAGATATACAAAGCAACGCCAAGCGACGACCCCAAGCATTGCCAAGCTTTGGTTTGGTGTGCTTTGCATTGCCCAGAGCTGCGTCGAATCGCCCCAGGGGGCAGAAGACTTGAAAGAGCGCGCCCGCAGCGCTGGGAGTAAGGAAAGGGGGGCCCCAGCTTCAAGCGACCCCCCCCTTCCAAAAGGAGGGGGGGAACTTCCGAAGCTACCCCCCCTCCATTCTGCAAGGGTTTCTAAGCTAGGGGAGCCCCAGCTAAAGGGGGGGGGGGTCGAAACTATCCCCCTCTCCCTCCGTTTTTCTGGAGCAGAAGGTGAGCCCTGGCTTCCCTTCCACAGGGGGGGGGCCTCGGAAACTACCCCCCCCCCTCCTTATTTTTTTTGGTCTGGACACGGGGGGGGACGGGTTCAAGCTACCCCCCATCCACCCTCCTTTGCAAAGCGGGGGGGCTTCCGAAGCTACTCCTTCCCCCTCTCTTCCGGGGTAATGGCAAAATGGTTGAATCCTTGCAGACAGGTGCGCACCGCAGCGCTAGAGAACGCATTGGAGAATACCGTCGACCCCTGGTTCGTTTTCTTGTTGTCTTGTTTTCTCTGCCCCTGGTTCGTAGTCTCGTTTTCTCGGGCCCTGATTCCTTTTATCGTTTTCTCGTTTTCTCGGCACCTGGTTCGTTTTCTGGTTTTCTCATGTTTTCGGGCCCCGGTTCGCGGTCTCGTTATCTCTGACCCTGGTTCGTGTATTCGTTTTCGCGTTTTCTCTGCCCCTGGGTCGTGGTCTCGTTTTCTCGGACCCTGCTTAGTTTTCTTGTTTTCGCGTTTTCTCGACCCTTGGGTCGTGGTTTTGTTTTCTCGGAAGCTGGTTAGTATGTTCGTTTTCTCGTTGTCTTGCCCCCCTGGTGGTGGCCTCGTTTTCTCTGACCCTGCTTCGTTGTCTCGTTTCCTCGTTTTCTCGGCTTCTGGGTCGTGGTCTCGTTTTCTCGAACCAAGCGTTCTCTGGTGATCGCGGCCCTTAGGTCGTGGTTTAGTCGGACTCTGGTTTGTTTTTTCGTTTTCTCGTTTTGTCGGCCCCTGGGTCGTGTGTCGTTTTCGCGTTTTCTCGTTTCCTTGGCCCTTGGGTCGTGGTCTCGTTTTCTCGGGGCCTGGTTCGTTTTCTCGTTTTCTGCTTTCTCGGCCCCTGGGTCGTGGTCTCGTTTTCTTTGACCATGGTTCGTTGTCTCGATTTCTTGTTTTTCGTCCCCTGGGTCGCAGTCTCGTTGTCTTTGGCCCTGACTCCTTTTATCGTTTTCTCGTTTTCTCGGCCCCTGGGTCGTGGTCGTGTTTTCTCGGGCCCTGGTTCGTTTTCGCGTTTTCTGTGTCCTTCGGTCACTGTCTCGTTTATTCGGACTTTAGTTTGTGTTCTTGCTTTCTCGTACTTTCTCGGCCCCTGAATCGTGGTTTCGTTTTCTCGGACCCTGGTTCGTTGTCTCGTTTTCTCGTTTCCTCGGCTTCTGAGTTTTTGTTGTGTTTTCTCGGACCTTGGTTCGTTTTCTAGTTTTTCTCGTGTTATCGGGCCCTGGGCCGTGGTCTCATTTTTCTTCGGACCCTGGTTAGTTTTCTTATTTTCTCGTGTTCTCGGCCCCTGGGTCGTGGTCTCGTTTGCTCTGACCCTGGTTCGTTGTCTCGATTCCTTGTTTTTCGGCCCCTGGATCGTGGTCCCGGTTTCTCTGGCCTTGGTCCGTTTCTCGGCCCCTGGATATATAGTGGTTTTGTTTTCTCTGACCCTGGTTGGTTTTCTTGTTTTCTCGGCCCTTGGGTCGTGGTCTCGTTCTCTCGGATGCTGGTTTGTTATCTTGTTTCTTTGTTTTCTCGGCCCCTGGGTCGTAGTCACATTTTCTCGGACCCTGGTTCGTTTTCGCGATTTCTGGTTTTCTCGGCCCCTGGGTTGTGGTCTCGGTTTCTCGGGCCCCTCTTCGTTTTCTCGTTTAGTCGGCCCCTGGGTAATTGTCTCGTTTTCTCGGGCGCTGGTTCGTTGTCTTCTTTTCTCGTTTTCTCTGCCCCTGGGTCGTGGTCTCGTTTTCTCTGACCCTGATTTGTTTTCTTGTTTTCTTGTTTTATCGTCCCCGTGCTCGTGGTCTTGTTTTCTCGGACCCTGGTACCTCTTCTCGGACTCTTGTCTTCTCGGCCCCTGGTTCGTAGTCTCGTTTCCTCGGTCCCTGGTTTGTTGTCTCTTTTTCGCGTTTCCTCTGCCCTTGGTCGTGGTCTCGTTTTCTCGGACCCCGTTTCGTTTTCTTGTTTTCTCGGCCCCTGGATCGTGGTCTCGTTTTCTCGTTTTCTCGTTTTCTCTGCCCCTGGGTCGTGGTCTCGTTTTCTCGGACCATGGTTTTGTTGTCTCGTCTTCTCGTTTTCTCTGCCCCTGGGTAGTGGTTTTGTTTTCTCTGACCGTGGTTCGTGTTCTCGTTTTCTCGTTTTCTCTGCCCCTGGGTCGTGGTCTCATTTTTCCTCGGACTTTGGTTCGTGTTCTCGTTTTCGCGTTTTCTCGGCCCCTCATTTTTTCGGACCCTGGTTCCTTTCACGTTTTCTCGTTTCCTCGGCTTGTGGGTTTTTATTTCGTTGCCTGGGGCCCTGGTTCGTTTTCTCGTCTCCTCGTTTTCTCGGCCCCTGGGTCGTTGTTTCGATTTCTCAGACCCTGGTTCGTTTTCGCGTTTCCTATGCCCCTGGGTCGTGGTCTCGTTTTCTCTGACCCTGGTTCGTTTTTTGAACCCTGGTTTGTTTTCTCGTTTTCTCGTTTTCTCGGCCCCTGTGCCGCGTTGTCTCGTTTTCTCGGACTCCGTTTCTTTTCCTCGTTTTCTCTGCCCTTGGGTCGTGGTCTCGTTTTCTCTGACCTTGGGTCGTCGTCGTCGGTGGTCGGTCGTGCGTCGTCCGTCGTCCGTCGCCGTCTTCGTATGACCTCGTCCTCGTCGTGACGACCACGACGAGGTCATACGAAGACGGCGACAATGACGGCGACGGCGGCGACGACAACGACGAAGACGACAACGGCGTCGTACGAAGACGTCGAGCGACGTCGACGGCATCGACGACGGCGACGGGGGAGGATCGTCTGGGAGGGGGAGTTCAAGGGAGGGGGTGGTGCCTAAGCCGCCCCTCCCCGTTTGGAAAGGGGGGGGAGGGGAGGGGAGCTTCCGGCAGGGGGGAGACAAATTTTGAGGGAAGGGGGGGGGTCCGACAGAGGGGGTCAAAGGATAGGGGGGGTAGCTAAGCTCCCCTCCCCTTTCGTGAAGGGGGGAGGGGGGGGGGGGGTAGATTCCCGGGTGCCGAAAGGGGGGGAGGGGGAGGGGGGGGGGGTGCTGCTGAGCCCCCCCTCCTGTTGGAACCAAAGGGGGGAAGCGGGGGGGTGGCTTCGGGCAGAGGGGGTCAAGGGGGGGAGGGGGGGGGAGCCTAAGCCCCCCCCCCTTTGGAAAGGGGGGGATGGGGTGAGCTTCAGGGGGGAGGCGAAAAAGGGGGGAGGGGGGGGGCGCTTCCAGCAGGGGAGGTGGAAGGGAGGGGGGGGTAGCTAAAAGGGGACCCCCCCCCCTTTGCTCCGGCGCTGTGGGCGCGCTCTCTCGAAGACTTCGATTGGGGGTCGCGCTGGGTTCACATTGGTTTTTGATGCAGGAAGCGGCCCTCGGACACCAGACAACGTGCACAAGAATGCCAGGATTCGAAAACTCGCTCCGCCTGAGGTCTGGGCCTCTGCGTGTCCCATGCCGCCGTCCGCTGCACAGGGTCGCCGAATGGCGGTCTGGCCCGTGCCATGTCCTTGGCATGGTTGGCGGCCTCCCGTCTCACACCGGCGGCGCCCGACGCATTGCGGTGAGATGATGTGGTCGCGTCGTGCTAAATGTAGATTGCGCGCGTTTGCGTCTATCGGAGAGGGACATGCGCCTTCGCGCCGTGAACAAATCATCATGGCTAAAGGTGTTGCGTCGTTTTTGGCCCCTGAGGTCGTTTGCAGAGCCCCGCGACTGCCAACAACTATCCAGGATGGAGTGCAAGTCCCAGGCAGGCCTCTAGGGGTCGACTTTTGCGAGTGCCGCGCCAACCCCCGCGCTGGCACACCCCCCCCACCATCACACACACACACATATTTCGTGGTCCTATCCGTCAACAAACAACTCAGGATGAAAACCGGTCCCGGGGAAGACATCCAGACCTCTGGGGGTCGACGTCGTGAACAAAATCACGACGTCGGGCGTCTGGGTGCCAGGGCCCGTCTAAACCCAGGACAGCGCCCGCGCTGGCACTCCTCCCGGAGATGCCGCAGACTGGAGAAGGCCTCTGCCCCCTGCCGCAACCTCCTCCTCCTCCTGCTCTCCTCCCTCCTGCTCTCCTCCCTCCCTCCCTCCCTCCTCCTCCTCCGCCTCCTCCTCCTCCTCCTCCTCCTCCTCCTCCTCCTCCTCCACCTCCTCCTCCTCCTCCTCCTCCTCCTCCTCCTCCTCCTCCTCCTCTTCCTCCTCCTCCGCCTCCTCCTCCTCCTCTCTGGGCAGCGCCGGCGCCCTGGCTCGCCAGGGAGTCCCCGCGCTGGGGACCTCCCCGAGTCTGCAGGGCCGGCGCGGGGCCCGGGCGCGCCGCGGGCGGGCGCGGCCCAGCGGGGCGAAGGGAGGGCCCGCGGAGCCTGCGCGCTCTCTGCGCCTCGCTCGCACAGCACTGGGAGCAGGAGGACCCCTGAGCCTACAGTCGAGAACCCTCACAAGGACGCGCGACTGCGCTCGGGGTGCCCTTGCTCTTCCTTGCTCCTCCTGGCTCTTGCGCCCTTGGGGTTTTCGCCGTCCGCCGCCCCCAAACTCCCAACTTCGGCTTCCAAGGGTCTTGCGTCCTTGCCGCGCGTCCTTATTAGGGCTTTTGATTGTAATAGCACGATGAAGACGTGGCCTCACTGGGGTCCCCGTCTTCACATCAGATCGGCCACGCGCCAAGGAGGAGGGCAGGGGGCGGGGGGGAGGCTTCTTAGAAGCACCCTGCTTCTTGGAAGGCACGGGCATTGTCTGTAGATGTAAGGCCGGCGCCTTCTAAGAAGCTGCCTCTTTCTAAGAAGCCTTCCCTCCTCCCCGTACCCCCTTGTGCGCGTCGCCAATTTGAGATCTTCGATCTCGGCGGTTTTGTCCTGGTACATCTGCAGAGATATTTCTGGCCTCCCTAGCTTAGGTCCCCTCCCAAAGGGCCAGGGGTCTTTTTGGTTCATCATCGCACGCTCGCCTGGAAGTGCTTTCACTAGCTAGCTCCCTCCTCCCGCTTCCGCTCCCTCTCGTGGCCGCCCCCTCGGACGGGGTTATAGGACGAGGACCAATCCGTTCCAGAATGTTCCAGGACGCTCTCGGAGCGTTCTGGAACGCTCTGAGAAGGCCGCGGTGCCCGAGACATCCTCCAAAGCCGCCAGATATCAGAGATTCCCGACTTAGCCTCAACTGATCTTGTCCTCGTCCTGGCTTCGTCTTAGCCTGGCCTTCCCGCGCCCGACTTCTGCGAGCGTCCCAGGCTACTGGTAGCGCCCGTGCGGATTGCCTCAGCCGTGCTGCGACGACCAAGATGCCATGTGCACATCGCTTTCAGTCTGGGAGCCCGTCGTGGGAGCATCGGGTGCCCGCGGGGTTCGGCCTGAGCGTGCGCCAGCGTGCCTTAGCGTCTGGTAGTCGATGAGTCAGTGCCGATTTGGCGTCGATCTGGCGTCGATTAGCGTCGACTCGCAAGAGCCAACAAGATTGTATGAGAGGCTCCCCTGAGTTGCCGCAGAACTTTCGGGGCGCGGGGTGGTGGTGTTGGTGGTCTCTTTTTTTATTATCCATCTGTCAGCTATGATGAAACAACTCCGCAGCAAGATGCGAATCAGATCAAGCGATACAATTTACAGAAATGTGCATCTACATATGGTCTTGCAGCCGATTGTCCTGTCAAGCTGCGCGTCGGAGCTTAGGCGAAACTTGTGCGATGGACTAGCTAAGCGCCTGGTGAAGCATGCTGATTCTCGTGGAATGGTACAGTCGTAAAAATGCAGACACCTAGCGGCGCTGACAGCGGGTACAGCGGTGCAGGCTAGCGCCAGCAGTGATGGGGGCGACAGCAGCTGAGACAGGCGGACGAACCAGCCGAGCGGCGCTAGGACTACAACACCGCACGAAGGGGGGGGGCCGAAGCCACCGGCGGGGGAGGGAGCAGAGCGGTGTCATCTCGAGGCAGGGCCAACAAAGTGCTCGGGGTCGTCGCGGTGTTGCTGTCGGCTGCACGCATGCACGTAGGATCGAAGGAGAAAAAATGCATGACCATAAACTCTCGGAGCTCCGCGCGGGTTTCGTGCACGGCGCTCGGGACGCCCCTGGCGGCGCCTCTGGCTCCACCCCTGGCGCTCTCCGCGCTCCAGGGAAGGGGTCCATCGCCGATCCAAGAAATCTGAGCGGACCCTGGATTGTTTATGCTTATGCGTTTTTTGGCTCCTCCATATGAGTGGCCCCAGACTAGAGGGACCTTCGCTGCGCGGCTTCGGGAGCGCCCGTGGGGGCCCAGCGCACCGGCGCAAGCCGCTGCCGTCGCACCGCATCCGCGACTGGCGGGGCGCGCCTCGAGAGGTCCTTGGCGCCAGCGGGCAACCGCGGCATTCCGCCAGCTCGATTCGGGCGCCCAGATTCGGTGCCGCTTTGGCGGCGGCCGCAATTGTGAGGATTCGTTTGAAGGAAGCCTCTGCAGGCATGTCGTTTTGGTAGTTCGAATTCTTAGGGTCTGGGTGGCTGTGAGGAGTGTGTGGCGGCATCCTTGTTTCGCACGCACACGCAGAGAGTCTGATCGACACGATAGCTTCGTACCGAAAAACGATATTGATGCCTCCGTGGTGTGGTCGTCGTCGTCCTCCTCCTCCCGCCTCGCCGCGGGGCGCGCCCGCACGACAACAGGCCAGGGAAGCCCCTGTTCGGCCCCCGTTGGCCTCTACGCTCTGCGCGCCCCAGCCCACGTCCGAGTGGAGCCCGCGTGGTGCAGAGGGCTTCGTGGTCCGGGCGGGTCAGCGCCGTGGTAGTGGCATCGACTACACGTAAGAGTGACCTTTCGCCGGAGTGACCTCTGGTGCGGGCACAATGGGGTCCCCCGATCACCGATTGCGATGCGATAGTAGCGTCTTGCGCGCCTGAGCTTGGTCCCCCCGCGGCCCCCCAAAAGCCGCGCACCAAAGGTCACTCTTACCCAGGGTCACTCTTGCGTGTAGCCGATGGCAGCAGCCGTGGCGCGGGCCAGCGAGCCGAGCCCCGCCGCGTCGGTGCGCGCGCGGTGCGGGTGGCGAGCGGCCAGGCGTCACGAGGCGCGGCACCGGGCGCCACCGGGGCGCCGGGCCCCCCGTTTTCCGAGGCGGCTCGGCGGGAGAGGCGCAGACGCGCACGGCGGTGAGACAGCGCAGAGGCACACACACACATCACAAGGGGAGTGGTGGCGTTGGAGAGGGTGTCAGCATGGCAAGGCAGCGCACGAAGCCAACCACGAGCGCACACGTGAGGCGCGCTCGTTTTCGTCGTCGTGGTGGTCGTAGCTGTGGTCGTCGTCGTCGTCGTCGTCGTCGTCGTCGCCGTCGTCGTCGTCGTCGTCGTCGTCGTCGTCGTCGTCGTCGTCGTCGCCGTCATCGAGGTCCTCCTCGTCGTCCCCTGGGCCTGGGAGAATCGTCCCTGGGGCCGTGCAGGAGCGCTCCCTCTCTGGGGCCTCGAGGCGAACCCCGCCGCGGCGACGAGGGCCCCCGGAGGCCTCCGTCCTCGACCTCCCCTCCCCAGAGATCCAACGTATTGGAAAAAACAAAACGGAGGTTTTTCTTAATTTTCGGCCTCCAGGGGCCCTCGCCAGGCCCCGGGACCGTCAAAAAACGACTCGGGATGAAAAACCAGTCTGGGGGAATGGGTCGAGACTGCGGGGGACCGCGTATTGAAAGAATCACGACGTCGGATCTCTGGGCCCCCCGAAGAAAAAAAACGCCGCAGACATCAACCGCAGGCGCTCCGCGCGCCAGGGCGCGGTGGGTCCAGCGCAGATCCGAGAAGCTCGCGCGGGGCGCCAAAAGTCTATGTTCACGGCGTCTGTTTGTTTTCTTCGGTTCCTCCCGTCGTCCTTCCCGCCTCGCCCCCCGCCGCTGCTGCCTTCCTCGCCGCGACCGACGGCCGCCGAGGGCCGCAGAAGGGCTCCGAGGGCCGTCGGCAGGTGGCCGTGGACGTCGAGGGCCTGCAGTCCGCCGTGGCCGCCGCGGCGCCCGCCGGCGGCGCCGCGTTCATGCGGGGGCCTGCCGGCGGGCCTGCCGGACGGCGCCGACGCCGACGCCGACAGCGGCGGCGCCGGCGACTCCCCGCGGCGGCGGCGGCGGCGACGGGGGCGAGGGCGCCGCCGGCGGCCACGTCGGCGACGACGTCGACGGAAGCGGCGTGGACGACGAGGTGCCTGCCAGCCGTCGGCGAGGAGGACGACGACGAGCTGGGCCACGGCGACGTCAAAGACGGCGGCGAGGTGCCCGCCGAGGCACCCTGCCGTCGTCCGCGGGCTATGCCTGGGGACCGCGGCCCGCCCGGTGGCCTCGCTTCGGCGGCGGCCCTCCAGCGCGAACTTCGGAGGCCGTCGGGGGGGCCCTCGGCGGCTTGCCAGCGGCCCTCGGAGTCGGAGGACATCGGGGCGCGAGGATAGCGGGGGCAGGCTGTGGTGGAGGGGAAGGGGGCAGGGACGGATGTTGAGGTGAAGGCAGCGGCGAGGGTGCAGGCGACTGGTCATGCATCGGGCTCGAGCTCTCGCTCGAGCCCGCGCTCGCACTCGCGCTCGGGAGCGTACTCGCGCTCACGCTCAGGCTCGCGCTCGCGCTCCCGCTAAGCTCGCGCTCGCGCTCGCGCTCGGGCCCCGTCGGATTCGGGGGTCGGTCTCGAGCTCGCTCGTGCTCGGGCCTGGGCTCGACCTC